TCTCTCTCTGTCTCTCTCTCTCTGTCTCTCTCTCTCTGTCTCTTACACACACACACACACACACACACACACACACACACACACTCACACACACACTACCCAAGCTGGCTAAACCAGTATAAGGAATTGAATCTATGTTTATCTCACCAAAACCTGCCTCTTGTCCCCTGTCCAGAGGCTACAAAACTATAAGCCACATTCTGAGTCTCCATCACTGAAGAGGTCGCTAAGTGAATGGCTCTCTGTGTGTCTAGTGCAGCTCCACGGCCTTCCATAGTTTCTGTGCTGGGTGGACAGCTTATGCTCATTTAGACAGTGATTACCTTAGCTAAGCGACTCATTTGGTCTCCATCAATGCCACTTCTTTACCAGAAAGCAGCTTCATGTTGCTCTACAGAAACAAGGCGTGGCCCCTCAGCTTTGCTTACAGGCTCACAAGGGGATCATTTTTCTGGTATCGGTTTCTGTTCCTGGCCCAAATTGAGCAGGTACTGGAAAACAGTGTTTATTTCCAGGTTCCCTTGACAACCTAGGTAAGCCGGACTTTGTCTAAATTACCACCCATGAGCCAAATGCTAGAGTTCTACACAGTGACTAGACAAAGCCACCTCCTCTATGCCCAGGGCAAGAGTAAATTTGGTCAAGTAGCCCGAATGCGGACCCCAGGAATGTCCACCCAGGTGCTTCAAGGAGCTCCATCCCAAGGGTTGCCCATCTTGGTTAAGGGACTCAACACTTCGGCTTTCAGAAGGCTTGTGGATATTTCCAGACCTTCTTGGCCTAGGCCTGGGGATTTTCAAAAATACGACCACAGAGGATAGCCCTCCCCTATTCCTTTGTAGTTCTCTGATCCTCATCCAAGCTTGATAGTATGTGTAAGGCTCTCAAGAATTAAAAACAGAATGGAGACGGGGCTATCCCAGGTTGGAGTCAGGCGGTCTCCGAGGGTCCTTATCCCTCACTCAGAGTGGCTGACAAATGAGTCCAAAAGGACAGGGACATGTTTCTTGTGGTCTTCCAGTCTGCAGTCTGTGCCCCTGAAGAGATGGGTCGGGTGAACGGACTCTCACTGCACACAACCCTCCCTCAGGGTCCATTCTCATGGGAACTGGGAGAGAAGGCCTCTACAGCAAGCCCACAGCATGGCAGCTGAAGTGAGGGGTCTGACCTTGTTTGCTCCCATCCCTGTGACTTTCAAGCAAGGGACTCAAGCAGCAGAAGATTTGTCTAGAGGGTGATTTGAAAGACTCAGTTCCATAGGATCTGTGAAGTTTAATGTTGGCATGTTGGCAGAGAGCTCATGGGTAGATTTCTCCTCTCTCAGACTCTGTGTCTCTGTGTCTCTGTCTCTCTCTGTGTGTCTCTGTCTCTGTCTCTGTCCTCTCTCTCTCTCTCTCTCTCTCTCTCTCTCTCTCTCTCTCTCTCACACACACACACACACACACACACACACACACGGGCCACAGTCCATTCAAATGGACCCTTTAAGTGAACTATAAGTGCCCCTTGGGGAATATGTAACCCATCAGAGCAAGGCTTGGTGAGGGGGCAGGTCCTGTAGCTCAGCTTCCATTCCTCCAACCAGGCTCCACAGGACAGCCCTGGCTGCATCTTGTCACCCAATGAGATGGGCTTATCTGGAGGAGGCTGGCTGCAGAGGTGAGCAAGGCCAGGCTAAGGGGTGTGAAATGAGCAGCACTGACTGCAGTCACATACAGCTTCCTGTCCACAAGGCCCCATCTCCCTGGAGAAGGTGGACCTCTGTTAGCACTAGTTTACCTGTTGGGATAGCTGACATTACAGGGCACTTTCCCGGTGTAGTTCTCATTTAGCCAGCGATTCGCCAGTGCCTGCTGAATATTTGGCCTCTTCACAGGGTCTGGTTCCAGGAGAGAGCGCAGGAAGTTGATGGCCCCTGTGAGACAGTCAGTAAAGAACACGTTTTAGACTGAGCACAGGTGCAGACATTAGCTGCAGACAGTGGTCTTCCACCTCTCCTCAGCTCCTCCACGCCTCCGATGTTAGGGTCTCCGGCAGGGCTTCGTGTAGGTAACTCAAAGATTCTGAGTTCAGCTCCCACCTTCAGACACCTGGAGTCTTAAATTCCATCTCTTCCCCCACTTATCTTTTAGAGATGCTGTACATCCAAAGAGCTTAAGAGATTGGTCCAAGGAGCATACCTGGTACCCGAGACAGCAAGAATTGATTTGCTCTCCCGGGACCACGCATTTCTGGAACAATCTGTGGGCTCTTGTAGTCACTGAGAGATCAGCCAGAAAGAAGAACTATTTATATGTGGAGGATGAAAGAGTAGAAACTGAAAAAGAAAAAAAAAAAAAAAGCCCAACATCACGGTGTCGCCTAAGCAATCAGAAAGGAAGAAAAATGAATGAGTTTGAATTAGCCCCTTGAGTTTGATCCTGACCTCGGGCACCATGTCTCTTAAGGTCAATGAGGTGTTTCCTGGCTGACTGGGTAATTGATTGATTTGTTTAATGTCTGAGGAATTAAGCCTGAGGCATCACATTTGCCCAGGAAATGCTATCACTGAGCTATATCCTCAGCCCTACTTTACCTTTTACTTTGAGATAGGTTCTCACAAAGCAGCCCAGAGTAACCTTGAACTAACTCCCTCCATAGCCCAGGCAGGCTTCAGACTTCTATCTTCCCCACCTCGGCCTTCCTAGTAGCTGGGATTACACATGTCATCACCAGCAGGCCATCCTTGCTCACAAAGCTATTCTCCCCTGCCTCCCACACTGCCCCAAACTCTGTGAGATTATAATATAGTCCCCAGACTAGCCTGAGCCCATGCTCTCCCAGCCAAGTGTATCAAGCTGACACCACACCAAGAAATCTGCATGCTTTTGTTTAGGAGTTAGGTCAATTATGTCTCCAAATCTTAGTTTGTCACAGGGTTCTAGCAAGCAGAACTCACATCTAGCTGATGCTGTCCCTTAAAGGGAAGAGGGTGCCTGGGCAGAGCGTATGCCAATGGCATTTGCTCTTGTTTTCAGGCTAAGGACCTGGTAGAGTAATGTCAGTTCCAATAAACCATAAGTGTAAGGAAGTTAAAACCATTGACAGCTATAAAATCCTCACAGCCTCTCTTACTTCCATCCCCAGCACAAGTCATTTGTTTTAACACCCTGGGTCTCCTTTCGTTAAACAAACATTTACAGAACACCTGTGCTCTACCAAACACTAGAGACAGGATGCTGATGTCTGTGTCCTTTAAGATCATAACAGGAGAGACAGCTGTACAATATGCAAAACTGTATTTTGGAAGGTACAGAACTGTTCAGTGAGAGAGTCTGCACACAGACAGAGTGAGAGTCCACACATGGACAGCCTGAGAGTCCACACACACACACACACACACACACACACACACACACAGAGAGAGAGAGTAAGAGAGAGAGAGAGAGAGAGAGAGAGAGAGAGAGAGAGAGAGAGAGAGAGAGAGAGAGTCCACACACTCACACACAGAGTGGGAGTCCACACACCGTGGCCTGGTTTTCCTGAGCTCTGAGCTCCACTTTCCTGTCCTATGACATCTTATTATTATGGGTTACAAGGGGGTGGGGACACACCTCATTTGGCAGAGTGCTTGCCTAGCTTGATGGAAGTCCTGGGTTAGAGCCCTAACACCCTGTAAGTCAGGCATGAAGGCACATGCCTATGATCTTAGAACCTGGGAGGTAGAGGCAGAAGGGTCAGGAGTTCAAGGTCATCCTCAACAGCATAGTGAATTCAAAGCCAGGCCCCTCAGTATAGAGCAAGTTCAAGGTCAGCCCCCAGGGTAGGAAATGGTAAGACACAACCCCTTCCCTTTCAGAAACACAAAACACTGTTTCTTTCTTTTTTATGTATGTAAGCATGTTCTTACCTACCCAAGTACACATGTGCAGTCAGATGTGTATACACACGAGTGTGCATGTACATAGAGGCTAGAGGACCACCTCAGGTGTCATCTGAAGGGGGCGTGGATCTGGGAGGAGTCAGGGAGGGGGTAAATCTAATAAACACATTTATGAAATTCTCCAAGAACTAACTAAAAATGAGGGGGCGGAGAAGATGCCACCCACTTCTTTGAGAGAAGGTTTCTCACTGGCTTGGCGCTTAACCACTAGACTGAACTGGCTGGCCAGTTAGCACCAAGGGTCTTCCTGTTTCCCTCCTTCCAGTGCTGGGATTACACACACACGTCAGGGTGCTCACCATGCCCAGCATCCTTAGGTGGGATTTGGGGGATCAAACTCAGGGTTCTGTGTTTGCAAGTCAAGTGCTCTATCAACTAAGCCATGCTCCTAGATGCCCCACCAAATAATTCTTTGGTTTTCCAGATATTAAATTCTATTGTATCAAATAGTAAGTCTCAGAAAATAATCTCCATTTGTTTCGACTCCAAATAGTTCTGTCTTTTTCTCAAGAGCTCTTTTCTGTTTTTCTTTTCCTTTTTTTTTTTTTTTAATAGAACCCTGCTTATCTGGGAATGGTCATGAAAATCCACACTTTTTTGTTTGCCTTCAGTTGTCATTTTAGACTGTACTTGAAGGAGGTATGATGGCCCTTCTGTGAGCACTTTTCCTGTGGCGGAAATAAAGCCGTCAAAAGAGGGGTCAATTGTGAGACCAGAATCAGCTCCAGAGAGATTGTCCTCCTTGAGGCCACTTCTGTAGGTAACTGGTGCATCAAGGGGCCAGCAGATGTGGCCATCTGCCTTCAAGAACATATTGAGCCCCGTGAAGGTACAGGGACCATACTAGCCGTGAGGTACATTAAGGTGGCCAGACTTTTCAAAAGATTCATTTGTTTTCCTTTTATGCCTGCATGTTTGTAATTGCACTGTGTGTGTGCAGCACCCACAGAGGCCAGGAGGGGGTTAGATCCCCTGGGGCACCTATTGCTCAAGGACAATGTGGTGGGTTTGATGAACTGAATGGGGCAGGGTTGCTGAGTCAGGGTGCCTTCTGAGACCTCTGATGCCCAGCCCTAAAAGACAGGCACCCCTTCACAGCCAGGGCAGGGCGTCTTTAAAGGATGATTAACCAGAAGAGCTAAGGGTAGCCAGATGTGTGTCTCTGCTTTATTTTCACCGCCGAGTGCACTAAATCTGCACAAACTGCTGATGAGCTCCATAATTTTAGTTCACGTCTCTGCTGACAGTCATATACCTCTGGACGTCACAGACATCACATCTCTATCCTGAAAGGACTCTGTGAACATCCTCCGAGTGTTTCCAAGTTTGTCCTTGGACCTTGAAAATATCCGTGTCTCTGGGGCCAAAGAGGACTACACATTCAACTCAGAAAGTGGAATCTGGTGTGGTCACAACCAGTGACCTCATGTGAGCTGACTCTTGGGCTTTCTACTCAAGCTGAGAGAGTCGAAGTGAGCCCAATGGGAACTCCATCGCCTGCATGTAACAGGAGGTAGCAACACCCTTTCTTTCAGGAGCAGTCAGACTTCTCAAGTCTGAACTGGCCTATGTGAGCACTGGACACTGCCAAAAGCAAGGGCTGTAGGCAACAGACAAAGCCACCTGCCATTACAGCAGCCAGCCAGATGCACGCAGAGGCCTGTCCTCGAGAGAGGCTGCCTTCTCATCACCTCAAAGCTAAGAATGCTTTGACAATGGGTGGTTAAGCCTCCTTGGAAATCTTAACCAGGCCCAACCTTCAGCAATGCCAGCATTTCTTCCTCAGCTTTTCTCTTGGTGCATCTGTGGGACAAAATCCTCTTAATTGGAAGTGTCTGTTTGGAATGTATTATAAATGCTATTGCTATGGTACTATGATGAAAGAGCAAACTGTTGGAAAAATCTCTCAGCCGCGAAAGGCATTTGCTAACTCTGTGATATGCGGGAGCCAACTTGCAGAAAGCGGAAACCGACTAAAGGGGAGTTGGAAAGGCCCCCAAAGCTGAAGGGTTCCAACTGTGTGATGGGAACAAGGAGGCAACTCTTTGAACATTTCGTAGATTCACAAGGACAGGGGTGCTGTATTTTGTTCCAACTGAAATTTTCTAAAGTAAAAATAAAAGAACAACACTTTGAAATTAACCCAAATGGAATAAAGTAAGATTTAATTGATGTATCAATGCAAGTAGGATTGACGGAATATGAAATTAATGGAGATATGTATTACTGATAGATGGTAACACTGGGGCATTTTCAATTTGCATTGACATCACTTAAAACACAAGACCTGAAGACAAGAGATAAGACTTGCAAGTTCATGAGCTGTGAGTTAAATAGGGAGAAGGGGGCAGACGATGGCTCAGCAGTTAAGAGTGAACACTGCTCTTGCCGAGGACCCAGGTTCAGTTCCCAGCACCAAAGAAAGTTAGGCAGCTCACGACTACCCGCAACTCCAGCTCCAGGGGATCAGACACCTTCTCTGGTCTCTGAGGGTACTGCAGACATAGGAGCGCATGTGTGGGGGGTGGTGAGTGTGTGTCTTTTAGAAATAAGGAATGGGGGGATAACATAGTACAAAGGGAAATCCTCCAATCAAGCCAACTCCATCACTCTGAGACTCGGTTCCCTTACTGGTAAATTGGGAACAATGGCATTTACCTTGCCCGACTGAGTGAAAAGGCAGTAACAGGAAAAAGCACTTCATTATGTTGTTCTATAAAGGGGCAGCTTCTCTTGTTACCGGTAAACTAGGATTTCTGGATGTAACAGCTGATATCCTAGGGGAACAGCAGTGGGCCAGGCTTGTCACAATGGTCTGCTTTTCCTACAGCCTGTGTGTGGCTCTGTCTTTTCTCCTTTAGTACCCACAGTGGGGTGGCACTGCTCCATTCCTGTTGCCTGACTGAGGCCATATGCCATGCTTACATACAGAAGGTGTAGGTGACTTTTACTGCTGGGTGGGGACCTCCTCCTTTACCTTGCTGGTCACTGTATGGACCAGCAATGGGTCTGAGAGCCCACTTGGGCTCAGAACTCTTCTATTCTTGATCCAGCTTTCAATTAATATAAAGCACAAGAAGTAAGCCCTTGTGGTCACAAGCCACTGAGAATCGGGGCTGATTACCATTATTGCAACCCAGCAATTTTGTTCTTAGCCATTTGTCTTACAGAAACAACATTCGCACCAACATCTGACGGTGAATGTTGGAAGCAGCTTTATTCAACGGTAGTCCCGAACTGGAAGCAATCCAGTGGCCCTTCAGCGGGTGAATGGTTAAACAGCCTGTGGTATGTGCATGCCTGGGAATACAACTCAGCAGTGAAAAGAAACAAAGCTCTGATTATCTAACAACTAAATGGATCTCAACACAATTGTAGTGAGACAAGGGCTTTGTGCACACTCTCCATTCTATAATTCCTTCCTTTCAAAAGAGAGATGGAGAAAGGATAGTGGCCAGTAGGGGTTTGCAGAGGGGGAGCGAGGGAGGTGTCAAGGGCTATACAGGGAAGGAGTGAGGTTGTAATGCAACCATGTGTCATGAGTCTACTTCACTTAAAGCATCAACACTACCACGTATGTGACGTGTTCACTCACATATATGTGTGGGTATGTACACATACATAAATGTGTGTATTTGCCTCTCCTACAGATGTACATGCTGTATAGGAGCAGAGGCTGCATGTGGCTCATTCCCTCTCTTTCCGGCATCTAGAACACACCTAGAATGCACCTGGTTGCCATGGACTAAGAGAATAGATATGAAATGATGAATACATGGTCAGAAGAATGAAAACTTCCCATAATGCCTCACGGCACACCCCAACACTTCTGAATGCCCAGAAGTCTCCGTGTGCCAATTCCTTCAACATGTTGAGCCTCCCAACTCCACGAGGTAAGGCTCGCAGTGCAGAAATACTTCTTCTAGAAGTCAGTACTATAGCCTCTCTTCCCAAGGACACAATTCCTCCCTGGCTCTCAACCTCCAGAGACTGTACAGCACTTGCAAGGCGAAAGTGTAGCTGGATTGGATAATGATGCCCAAGAACTCATTTCAAGTCGGATCCATTGACAAGAGCGTATCTCGGGTCAGTTTCCCAGATGCTTATAAACCCTAGGGGAAAATACTTAACAGTGGCAAAATAAAATGCTCTATTTTATCCAAGTATGAGGAAGGGGAAAATTAAATAATTATCCTTTCTTGGTCAAAAGCCTCATTTCAGTGAACATAGACTTATTCTAACAGAACAATTAAATGGCCCCCCTCCAAGCCGAGCATAGGCCAGGAACTTGATGTGAATTGTGAACCAAACAAAAGATCAGATCTTATTAACTTACTGAGTCTGAAACCAAACCTTTATTCAAGTCTTTTACTGCAATCTGAAGCTGCTGAAGTTTGAGAGAACTTCTCAAACACATCTCTGATTTATTCCAGTGAAGTAACCGAATCTGCATGTACCTGAAAGCTTTCGAAGGGCCTCAAAAATTCACATAATAAAACAAACCACAGACCCCATACTTGAATGAAACCAATATTTCTTTACAGTAAACTGACTACAGAAAATGTTCCTTCCCAAGGCAACACTGCAAAATGGTGAGCCTGCAGCTACTTCTCCAGCAAAGACCGCACGGCTCTCTTGATGTATGTGTGTTGTACCAAAGGCAGAAGGAAGGAATTAGAGCTTCCGAATTACAGAGGAAAGGAGAAGGCATGTGCGATGGATGGGCTGGCTTCTCAGGAATGGGAAGCCCAGCAGCCTCTCTTGTTTGAACGGGGTGAAGGAAATCACTACCACACAACCACTTCCAAAAGGAGTCCAAACCTGTCAGAGCACAGGTGCCCAAACCCTGAACCCAGAGCAGCAGGTGCATTACCTGTGGAGAGCTGGGTGGGAAGGGGGTTCATCTCTTTGTCCACCATCTTCTGGTACAGAGCCCTCAGGCTGAAAGGCTCCACTGTGAAAGGCAGGGTCCCGGTCAACATAGCGTACATGTTCACGCCTCTGCAAAGAGACACATCAAATGTGAGAACAGAGGCGGTCCCTGGGTGCAGAAGACAAAGCCCATGGACAGACAGACAGCTTCCTGGCCTCTGCCCTGGCTGAGGCATCCTCCTGGGACCTTCCAATCATGTGATGGTTGAGGTGCTGACACCGGAAAGGCTGTGTGAGAACGCTGTGACGACATAATGAGGGCTCGGAGATGAGCAGGAACAGGAAGAACTGTCTGTGCAGGAGAAACCACACTGTCTTCACACTGTCTCACCAGGCCAAGTATCAACTGGAACATGTAAGACCCCCCCCCCCCAATTCTGAAACCTCTCAACTACCAAGATGGCACCACAAGCAAAGAATTCTCCCTCTGGCTTCATGTGGTAGGCCATGGCGCACTAAGGGTACCACATAAAACCACCTTCAGGCTGGGCCTATAATGTGTATGTGAAACACCGACCTGGGTCCCACAGCCAGGAGCATCCATTACATATATGCAAAGCAAAGATTCCAAAACCAAAAAACAGTTCTGGTCCGAAGCATTTTGGACAAGGGACACTCAAGTTGTCACGAGAAGGCATCAACACCAAAGAATTCCCGATGAAAGTATGTGGAACACACTGTTAGCAGCATCAAGTGTGATCCATCAGCCTGTAATCTTTCCAGATGTGCTCTACAAGGTAGAACTTAGAGGGGACCAGATTAAATGATACAGGACAAGAGCCACCCTTTCTGGGCTAATGAGGGCGTTTGCTTACCACTGAGCCCTTTGAAGTCAAAACCCGGCACCCAAAGCCAGTCTTTTATCCATCTCTTGAGTTTTGTGCTGATTGTCACTAAGGGAAGTCCTTCCCAGGCTCTGTTCTTATTTAAATATTTATTGTGAGGCTCTCCCACCACGCCCTGTTCCACTATTTCGGCTGTGGTGGAGCTATTGCTGGTTGAACTTAACTGCTTATATCCAAAGCCAACCCAGAGGACAGCGAAGTCTTCTGGGGGGGGATTTTATTCTCTTGATGTAAAAACCTACTATCATGTTGATGAGATTTCCTGATGAGGAAGAAATGCCTGCTTGCCAGAGGTCTCTGCTGTTCAAAGGCACCGGGGCGGATGTGTTTTTAAAAACAGGCAACAGGATTTCCAGTCAAAACAGAGCCAATGAGACTGATTGAAATTAAGACCCTTCAGGCCTAATTCCACAAAGGTGCCTTTGAATTATGCATTCCATATAATGACAGATACTGGGGCCCTCAGCTCCAGCCTTAAGCACTCTCAGGTTTCAGACGTAAGCTGAACTCAGAAAGAAGTCAGGGAGACAGACAGACATTCATTCCACAGATTCTTGCTGGATGCCTCTCTCTAACTGACTGTCAGCCAGACAATGACACTGCCATTTTGGATTTTGAGCTGAAGAGAAGCAGGCAATGGGCAAACACAGAAAGAAACACGACCCTTTGGAGTAAAATGAGAATGGAGAGAGCAAGACAATGGTGGACTGCACTGCTTTTGACACACAGAGCTCAATTAAGGAGACGGGGGACTCAGAAGCCTGGGAAGCCTCTTAGAGGAGTGTTTCATGTATGAGCTTATACATCGTCAGTTGGCTGGACATGGCCATGTGACAAATTACATAAACCAAGAAACAAGAGACTAGAACAGACAAGGCAGATGCAGTCGCAGGCAGCAATAGTTCTTGGTGTGTGTTCAGTGCAGCGTATTCCTCGGGGCGTGGATAGATATGCACAAAAAGTTCCATAGGCAAACAAGTTACTCACACCGTGGGTCGTCCTCGAGTGTAAATGAACAAAAGGGGCTCAGAGTGGAGAGCTGGAGGCCATGGCAGCAAGCACACAGTATTGCTCTACGTCAGAACGAAGCGATAGATTTCACAGAGAAATTAAGAGCAACAGAGACATAGAAGGGATGTACCACATTAAAACTCAGAAAGCCAGAGCAGCCATGGTGACAGATGGAACTGAGCAAGCTGAGGGAGGCAGTCTGGAAGGGGAGGGAGGAGAGCCGAGGCTGTGACTTGCCTTAAGGACCCATTGTGCAGGGTGGCATCTTTGATGTGTTTTAGGATAGAAAGGAAAACTAAAACTATATGATCTGTTTCTACGATGCGGCCTTAGACACAGGCTCTAATAAGTGGAAAACCTCTGGTCTCCTCCACAGTTACGGGGGACCTGGAACCAGTCATCTCTAAGTAGTATACTGCTTCCCAGAGTGTGCTCCTCACTCCAGCACTGAACACTGCCTGAACACTTGATTCCAGGGCTGAGCTACAGACTCAGAGTCAGAAACTCCCAGACCAGGCCTTGTAATATGTGGTTTAATGATGCCTCTGGGCCCAGTGAGATGATCTAATAGGTAACGGTGCCTGCCAGGCAAGCCTGGTGATCTATGTTTGAGTGCTGAAATGCATGTAAAAATTAAAGAGGAGAAATGATGCCACCTCAATGTCCTCTGATGGTCATGTGCCCGCTGAAATGTGGGCCTCCCCTCTCTCTCTCTCTCTCTCTCTCTCTCTCTCTCTCTCTCTTATTCTCACTCTCTCTCACACTCATACCACATCACATACACAAATGCATTCATGTGCAATAATAGTTATTTTTAAAAAAATATCTCTCTGAATGCACTCTGGTTTAAAAGCCACTGGGAAGATAAAACCTAAGTGGTGGGAAAGTCATCACAGTAGGCCTGATGGGAGGAGTAGCAGGGAGCACTATACAGACTACAGGCAGCAATCCAGTTCTTCTTCAGCACTGGCCCCATTGCATAACGTTAACGTCCTCGTTGGAATATGCTGGGCTCCTTAGACTTTGTAATATTAGCATGCAAATTAGTTTCGGTACTTTAGTCATACAAGGTCATACATTTATCGAGTCTAATTCTGGATTCATGTGCTCATAATACTTAAACAAACAATCCGAAAAACCACCTAAGACAGTGTGAAAACGTCAAGGCTGTTCCTCCTCCCAGAGGGCAGCATGCAATACTCAAGCCTGAAGCCTCATCCCTGTCACCTTCACGTCATGTCTTATCTTTGGAGGACACGTGGCTTCTCGTCACAGGTGGAATGCTCTGAATGCTACAGAAAGCCTCCAGAAGCAGGATGCTGTGTGGTGGGTAGGAACTGACTGAAGGGGTTTATAAAATGTCCAAACCAAGAAGAACAACTCTAAAGCCATTCCGGGAGACATGAAGACCAAAAATCACTTATCCATCACCAGTTGGCTTCAAAGGATGAAAACAAACCAAAACAAACAAAAAATCGACATAAGCATAGCACACTGGCCTCTCTCTCCTCTGTCTCTTTCTCTGTCTCTCTGTGTCTCTGTGTCTCTGTCTCTCTCTGTGTTCCCCCTCTCTCTCTCTCTCTCTCTCTCTCTCTCTCTCTCTCTCTCTCTCTCTCTCTCTCTCCATTATCTACTTTGGACCACAGATAGGAATAAAGGATACTGTGTTCCAGATGGCACCAGGAACTCCAACCCGCAAGCCAGACTGTGACTGCCTTACCAAAAGGCTTCCAGTTATGATGGCGTGACCAATTAGAAGCTCACAAATGCTGAGAGATTCCTTTCGCTTCATCCTAAGGGCAGTTACCTTTAAATGTAGCTAATACGAAGGCCCAATAACTGAAGCCATAGGAAGAGTTGAGTCTTTGTCTGGAGTAAATTAAACAGCAAATAAATCTTCTCTGTTGTTACATTAGAAACAAACGAAAAATCTGTTTAAATAAAACAAAACAACAACTGCAATAAGAGCTACAATTGTATTTGGGCACTATTACAAATGATAATGGAAACCCACGGCAATAGTTGGGTAGCCCTAGGAAAGTTTAAAAGAGAAAGCAGATTGGACATCTTTTTCCTGCCCGAGTTCTCATCCATGTTTAATATGTGGATGAAGAGAGCAACGCAGCCCTCTGACATTTCACGAGTATTCGAGAATACCAAAGGGGATGTGTGGAATGCAGTTTATAAACCCTGTAATCCCACAGAGTCAGGCTGGGTTTCAAAACATGCTCAGAATTTCCTGAAAAGCCTTTTGAAATATGGCCCAGGGGTTTCCTGGGTTCTCTGAGGCAGACAGGGAACTTTGACAACTCCAAGATAGCTCTGAAGAAAGCCAGCAACTATAGAGACAGGGACAGGGAGAGCGGCAATCCAATAGTGCTGTTTTCACAGCCAACGGGAAACACAGGGAGGCGCTGCAGGGTGGGAAAGCCTGTGGGGTAATGGACATTGCGCACCAGTCTGATGTCGAAAGAGAAGGAGCTGGTGACAGTGACAGGCAACTGGAGGAAGGAAACGGGCCCTGTGGAGAGGTGTGGGATCTTCTGCACTGAGGCAGAAGAAAAATGCTGATCTTGATAGTCTGAGAGTCAGCCTAACACATTAAAATATTCCCTGGAGGGAAAGCTGCCATCTCTGTGAAGAAAGACACAGGGCCACTGCACACTAGAGAAGTCCCAGAAACTTTACCCAGATGCAAGGAACAAAGCGAGTGTCAACTCTGCATGAGCAGGTACAGAGTGAGGTCACCTGTCCTGGGGGCATGAGGCCAGGAGCCTTGGCAACCACCTGGCTCATACAGAGAATGTGTGAGGACATCACATGCACGCCTTGGTTCTGCGTCGCCGTTCTACAAGAAAGGAACTACCTTGAAAAATTAACCCCCAGCAGAAAGCTGTATCTGTCTTTCTTTCTGCATCTGTTTTCAGTACCAACTCCCATTGTAAGGCCCTGGAAGGACAGACGGAACCCTGCCTCCATCCTAAAGTCCCCGTGCCAACCCCATCCATGAAATGGTCTGCTTTAGGCCGGAAAATATTTTCTGGTGGATTTCACTGTGTTTGTTCCTTTCCCACCCCTGCTCTATTTCAATAAATGCACTAGCTACAAAAGCAGGGGCAATGCCGAAGCTGAAGGAAGAAGCTTCGTCATCTTTGAGACAGACAGGGTTTCTCTATGGAGCCCAGCACAGCCTCAAAAGCACCACCCTCCGGCCCCAGACTCCTGGGCTGAGAGGCACGCGCCATCAAGCCCCACCAGCACGGAACTTCTTTTTCTTTTAAAAGTCAAAAGCCTTCAGCTTCCCCAAATGAACACAGTTCCCTGCACCTTCCTCACCATCTCTTATCACAAATACAGAAAATCCTTCTGTCTGTGACTCCTGCCTGCAGGGAATAACATCTGCTGTCATTCTATAAAGCACAGAGCCTGGGACCCGGCCCCAATTTTGTCATTCTCTTCCTGAACACCCTGTTCTGAAGAGACAGGCACACTGGAAACAACATGGTGCCTCTTGCCCAAATTATCTACCCAAAGGCACCCGGGAAAGACAGAGTCCCTCCGATGAAATCAGTGGAAGAAGGTTCAGGAAGCTCACGGGGACCCATGTGCTGTGCACGACTCCGCACTAGGTCCCCAGTCTGCACAGCCGCGGGGCAAAGCACTGTGCTGTGAGGATGCTGCTTCCTCCATCTCTGTGGGGACAAGACTCCTGGGGTGGATTTTTCTTACCCTTAAAAGCTTGCTGAAGTTCTCAAGCAAATGCTGTAATAATATTCCTGAAGTTAAATTCTCTTCAATTAAAAAGTACATCTGCAGTACAGTTATTCTCCAATCAGAACACATACCACTCCGAGGAAAAGCCGAGTAGCATTAATAAGTGTTTGATGTACCAGAGTGATCATTACAGTTTTGTGTCTAAAATCTCAAGGCAGGGAGGGAGGGTGTGTGTGTGTGTGTGTGTGTGTGTGTGTGTGTGTGTGTATGCGCACATAAGACCTCTGAGTGAAGGAAAAAGTTGAACAGGGTTTTAAGGATAATTTATACGGTCCCGAAAATGACACCATTGACAAGGATAACCACCCCAGGATCCCATCTCCTTTTCCATAGCTAATGCTCGCACTCCAGGCTGTCTCAAGAGTCTCTAAGCCTTCCTGTGTGACTGGCTTCTTTCCTCTTCACCAGTCTCCGAAGCCTTGGAGTTAGTCCCAGATATCCAGCAGGCTAGAAACCTCTGGAGAGGGGCGTTTGCTTTTGATTTGAGGAGTCGATCTGTCACTATTCTGTTTCACAGCCATAAAAGGGGGGGTGCATTTTGCAATAGTGGTATTGGAGACAGTGGGCTCCATTCCCGGTCTCATCTTAAGCAGCACTGAATTAAATTCTCTTCGGGTTTTCCAACTCTGATTCTGTCAACAATGCCTTGGGTACCACACAGAAACCTAATGCCTCCCTCAGACAGAGGACTCCCAGGTAGTGGAAAATCCATCTTCTAGCGAAGGTTCTGAGGCTTCCTGCTCTCGCCAAGACCTTCAGAGTTGGCAGTGCTCAGACGCCAGCACGGCCTGCTCCGTACACTCCGCCTGGAACCTGCCCTCTCTCTCCCCTCCCTGGCCAGCTTCAGTCGGCTCTCAGGAGCAGGGTAGAGGTGCTCCCTCTGCTTTCTAGGTTTTGCACAGCTGTGTATCTGCCTCGCCACTGCCTGGCACTGTATCTGTTTACAGAGGACTTGTAGGCAGTTATGTGTCTTAGTCAGCCTGGTCTACGTCGTGGTTTGGGCAAGTCTCCACCAGAGGTTCATGTGCTTTCAAAGGCGTGACTCCCAGGAAGGCATTAAGAGAAGACGTGGGGTGCTTAGGAGTGGGGACTAGTGCAAATCCTTAAGTAGCTCGTGCTTACTCTGGAGGGACTGGAACTGTGTCCTGTTTTTCTCTTTGTTCCTGGTTTGAGACCTCAGCTGTTCTGCCCTGTCCCCTGCTCCATCCCCAACGCTGCACCGCACCACAGGCCCCAGTCAGTCAGTCAGACTGGAACCTTCAGAGAGAGTCACCAAAATAAGCTTTTATTCTTCATTAGCTCATCGTCTCACGTATTTAGTGATAACAATGAAATTCTGGTCAACACAGGCTACCGTAACAAAATGTCACAGAACAGGGTATTCGAATAACAGACACTGTCTCACAATTCTGGGGCTGAAAGTCTAAGATCAATATCAAACACCAGCTGGGTTCTGGTGAGTGAGAGCCTCCCCACTTCCTTCCTTCCTTGTTCTGTGACTTCACAAGGCACACAGACAATACAAGCTCTCTGTGCCTCTTACAAGGACGCTAAAAGCATCATGGACCTCTCTCCCATGTCTTCACTTCATCCAAAAGTAATACCTCCCAAAGGCCGCAACCCCAAATACCCTGACATGGGGGGTTAGGGCTTCAAAAGATTAAGTGGGGACTGGGTGACAGAATTTGGTTCTTAGAAGTAGGCCAGTGAGTCACTGTAGTTGGCTACGCACCCAAGAAGCAGGAGAAAAGGTCTCTCTCCCGGTTCAAGGTTGTGCCAAGCAATTGGCTCTGCCTAGTGAGGCCCAAGCAAAGGAGATGGAGAAGCACTCCCGGGGTCTTGGGTGTTACAGTTTACCATCTTGCTCCTGGGGGCTCTGGTGGCTCGAGGGAAATTCTACACATCCCATGCCCTGCTTCATCTCCTTCTTCTCCAGTGTCACCTGTCACCATGTCTTCCAGACAGGCACAGAGTCCCTGCCTCTACACAGACAGAGAGCTGGTGGCCATGGGAAAGGGGGAAGGAAGCCTCCCTGAGGAGCAGGGCCCTTTATCTCAGTCACAGAAGGGGGAGATGGAGTGTCAGCAGATGCTAAATATGAATCCCTTTCCCTGGCGGAGCAACTGGGCAAAAAGGGCAGGAACAAAACCCAACCCTTCTCCTCAGCCCGTGATTTCATCTCTACACGGATAACCGAGTCGCTCCTGTGTCAGAGTTAGCAAGAGGTGACAGGAGAGCCTGAGCCGCTTCTACACACCCTCCACACTCAGGAGATTCCTGCTTCATCTTGCGTTGACACCTGGGGCAACACAATATTGTCTGTCCCCTTCAGAGCCTGACCTCAAGGAGGAAACTGCCACCCGCACCCCAACCTACCGACTCCACCTTCCCTTTGGTCATCTCCCCGTCACCACGGAGACACAAAAAATACCCTCCAAAGGTCTCGCGGTATCTGGGGCTTCCACAGTCCTTTCATTTCTTCCATGTGGTGTTAATGGATTCCCCGGCTGTCCCAAGACTTTCCTTTCTGATGGAGGAGGAGACAGTGAAGGGTTTACAATGGAGAGTGAGCAGGGTGGCAGGTGCACAGGGGAGTGAGGGGGACAGGGGCCCTCAGCAGGGAGCACAAAGGGGCTGCTGCAGGAACAGAGTGAGAGATTGCGTGGGAACAGCATCCCAGCAGAGGAAGGACAGGAGGGAAGCCAAGCCGTGGGTGGGGACCAGGCAGGTGCAAAGAGGCGGGAGAAGCGGGCAGCAGCAGACAGACTTAAGGCTCATGCTTAGCAAACTATGGCAGGATCTGTTTGTTGGGTTTTGTTTTAGTGGTGGTGTAAGGGTGTGTGTGATGTGTGGGGGTGTGCTTTGTGTCTATTTGTAGCGTGTGTGTGTGTGTGTGTGTGTGTGTGTGTGTGTACATACATGTACACATGTGTTTGTTTGGTTTTTCTCACAGGTTGTGTGTGTGTGTGTGTGTGTGTGTGTGTGTGTGTGTGTGTGTGTGTGTGTGCGGGTGTGCATGTGTGTGTGTGCGCGCTCGGGTGTGTGTGTGTGTGCGCGCGTGTGTGTGCGTGTGTGTGTGTGTGTGTGTGTGTGTGTGATGTATGACACATATAAATGCATGTGCACATGTGTGTGTTTGGTTTGGTGTGTGTGGGTATGAGCTGTTTGTCTATTTATATGGGGGGTGTGTGTATGTGTGTGGTGTATGTATACATGTGTGTGCATGTGCACATGTGTTTGGGGTGTGTTTGGGGTGTGTTAGTATGTGATGTGCATGTTAGTATACCCACGTACCTGTGTGTTAGTTTGGTTTGGGATAAGTGTATGTTTGTGTGTGTGTGTGTGTGTGTACACACATGTGCACATGGGTTTGTTTGGTTTGTGTGTGTGTGTGTGTGTGTGGTTTGTGGGTTGTTTGTAGTTTGTGTGTATGTACACACATGTGTCTGTGTGTTTGTTTGGTTTGGGTGTGGGTGTGTGTACATGTGCTTGTGTGTTTGTTTGGTTTGGGATAGGTGTATGTTTGTGTGTGTGTGTGTATACACACATGTGCACATGGGTTTGTTTGGTTTGTGTGTGTGTGTGTGTGTGTGTGTGTGTGTGTGTACATACATGTGCACATGTGTTTGTTTGGTTTGGGTGTGTGTGTATATATGAGCACATGTGCTTGCTTAGCGAATGAACCTAGAACCTACCATACACAAAGCCAGGATTTCACTGCTAGCTTCATTTTCACCCATTTTCCCCTTCTGGTTTTGAGACAAAGTCTTACTCAGTTGCCCAGGGGGCCCTAAACTCAATCTGTAGCCCAGGTCAGCCTTGAACTTGTGACCCTCCTCCCTCGGCCTCCCAGGTAGCTGTGATTTCAGACTGGTGCCACCAGGCTTGCCTTTATGAAGAGGTTTTACATTGTACATGGGTGGTTGGTTCATGAAACACCAATGTAAGTCTGCCAAGGCTGGACTTGGCTTTCTGCCTTTCTCAGCTTCCCAGTGAAATGTTTGTAAATGCTGCTTGGAAAGTTTATGAAGAAAAGTCTGGAAAGAGAAAAGGAAAGCTGGGCTCCGAGAACCACGGATGATCTAATCCACAGCATCCACTGTGTATATTCTCATCAGATAGAGACTATTTCACAAATGGGGCGTGGGGCAACATCGACTTTTACAAGCTGGATAACTCACATTGACCAGACATCGATTTTGGGCCCGTATTTCTTCCTGGCGAGCAGTTCCGGAGCAGCGTAGGCTGGGCTGCCACACTGTGTGCTGAATGGGTCTGAGTAACCCAGGATCCCTGCACAGTTGCTCAAACCAAAGTCTGCAGAAAGGAAAAGACAAACATGAACCCTGAGTTAGAAAATTGCAAAAATGAGGAGGAAGAAGACGAAGAAAAAAAACAGCAGGAGAGGAAACATTCTCTCAGGCTAACACATAATTTAGCATCCAACAGGAAACCCACCAGCTGCAAACCATAACCCCTGACAGACTTCTCAAGACAAAGGCGTGCCTGCTGGGTGGCGGCCCCCTCCCTTCAGTGGAACATCTTACATCAGCCCTCGCTGCACCATCCAGCTAGACCTAACAGTGTGAGGAGCCAAAACATATTTCTACGGAGCCTTGTAAATGAGTCATCCAGGGTGAAGAGAGACTGTTAGCTTTCTAGGACTGAGGCGGGAATGGAGAGCATGCTGAGATCCTGGCTGCCCTGTGGCCAGCCTGGGAGAAACTGAATGCAGACTGCTTGTCTCTGCTGGCCGTCTGCATCATTGGCCGTTTACAGTTGACTTCTTCAACTCAGGGTCTTCCATTAAAGTCTCTAAGAAATTCCTTCCAGAGGTATACTGTAATTTGGGGGAGGGGGTGAGGGAACAATTTAATCAGCCCTGTGTGTTGGCTGGGAAAAGAACGATGCTGACTAGACTAAGTGGCCTCATGGCATTGCTTTGTTCTTCGAAGGGGAGGGCATCTGGCAAGCCTGCAGGAAGGCCCTGATGTGCCTCACAGCTACTTTGGGTCTATTAGGGGTTCGGGGAACTATTTACTTTTGATCTTAAAGATAATGCAACTGGAGGGTGATTAGGGCGCGGTTACTGTCCTTCCCTCCCCTGACAACTTTCTTCAGTCTTTGTGGATGTCAGAATTAAGATCTGCTATCCTGGGTCATCCTTTGAACTCCATGGCAAATGGAGTTCTGAACACTCAGCCATAAGACTCCCAAGCCTCAGGGCAAGTCAGAGATTGGCTCTGAGAAGGCTGGAACCACGCCCCATACCTTCTGCAGGGGCACTAGGGCACTAGTCTGTCTCCTTTCATTACTGTCTTTCTCTCTGCTCTAGCGTGTCTCCACCTGCAAGTGCATGCCCTCCACAAAGGCCATAGGGAAGAGCTCAGGAAATGGCAAACAGCCCAGGGAGAAACTGGGAGAGTGTGAAGCCGCCTGCACACCATGGGTCTCGATGGAGAACTGAAGAGGCCCTAACACTTGCTGCAGTGAACTGTACAGCCGAACAGCTTATCCAAAGAGAACCCCACGAACTCTTGCAGGCTCCGAAGCACACCAAGCCCTCAGTTCAGGCTCCCGAGGAAGAGGCAGAGCCTACGTTAGGGATCTGGAAAAGCAACCACCAGGAAGGCTGTTTCAACACTGACCTGTCTCTTCTTTTGCTCTTGACTGTTGTTGGGTTCTTTTTTTTCCCCACTTGCCGCCCTTCTCCTGTCTCCTTACCTTTACCCTCTACAGCCTGCCCATTTCCTTTCTGTTTGGTCCAGTTTGCCCCACTAGGTACCACAAGACCCGCATAGAAAAGCCTTTCTGAACTACAGGGGATGGCTAGCCTCCCGTCTGAAAAAGTGTCTGTTGCAAAGATGGTGAGGGGGCTCTGTTCCCAGATCCAGTATGCACTGTGGCACACTAGCTGGGCGGGGTGGGGTGGGGAGCACTAACAGGAGGAAACTACCAGACTCTTTGCGTAAGAACACCTACTGTGGAGTCTGGAGACTGCACCATGCAGTAAAGATGGTGGTGCTGCCAGGGGTCAAAGTTTTAAGAAAAGTTGTCTTGTTACAAGCCCTAACTCACAGCAATCCCAGAAAAAAAAAAAAAAAAAAAAAAAAAAAAAAAAAAAAGGAAAAAATAAAGTGTCTCTGAATTTCCAAGATAAAAGGCAAAGCTACCATTCCTCGGGTCAACGCAGGCTCTGCTAAAACAGAGGGCTGGCGGCCTCTTTGAGCCCTCTCCTCCCGTGCCCCTTATCTGGTCTATCAAGAAGGGCAAGATAAGAGGCCAGACCACCCTCCACTGTCCCAGGCAAGCAAGGGGAACAGAGCCTGGCTTTATCTCAAGAGCATTCCAAGAAGATGGATTAGCTGGGGATTTGGGAGGTGGAGGGGTTGCAGAACCTGCATTTAAAGTTGTCTTCATCTAGCCAAGAACACTTGATTTTAAAGACGTTGTAGAGACATAAGGGCAGAATATTTCACATTCATAATTACGGTTATTAAAATTTTACACATATGTGTATAATTAGAATGGTGAAGCTAGAGAGAAATTTGCCTCCCAGTAATGTCAGATAGGTCGGCCTCAATTAGATTTGGTAAATACATAAGCTAATTATCACTCAATTTTCTGAGAGCTGCAAAATGGAATCTTAAAAGAAAGCCCCAGTGAATATTCACAGCTCCTCTAAGCCGTAGCTGTCCCCCCCTGGGGAGGGAACATCCCTGCAAACATCCGGCTGCCTACTCTTGTTTTTCTCTTCTTTCTTCTTCTAAGAAGAAAAATATATGATTGAATCAAAAAATCTTACTCCTGATAATTCTAGCTAATTTGAAACATGGCTGAAGTAAGTTTACTTAAATCAAATGATTTCAAAAACAAGGAAACTATTACGAAGAAATGATAATAGCTATAATCCTCTTTGAAAAACACCTAAGTAAATCCTTTGAAGACAAGAGGTTCAAAGGGCTTTCAAGTTAACGTAGCAATAATAAGGTTTTAGGAAAGACCTTTGGTCCACAGTGCCCATCCCAGGGGCAAGAGAACCACAAGACACTGGGCTCCTTCCCCAAGAGGGAAGCAGGCAGAATGAAAGCACCGGCTACCTTCTAGGCTAGTACAGCGCATCTTTCATTTATAGTGTCATTTAGGTCATGAGAGGGACTGGGAGGCAAGAGAAGGAAGAGACCAAGAGAGACCCAGTGACCAGAGCCTCCTTCCTCACAACTGAGTATCTGGCTTTTGATACCAGGCCCTTCCTAATAGTTCTGGCCCATCCTTTATTACCAACTTTAGTTTGGCCTAAAGATATCTCTATATATTTTAAGTTTGGACTGGAGATGTTTCCATGCACAGAGAACTATAACCTCTTGTGACAGGGGAACAGAATGCAACCTCCTCCTACCACAAGGAGCTGAGTCTCAAGGGCTGGTGAAGCCATGCTCAGGTAAGTCGGCTCTGAACTGTAAGCAACCGGGTTCTCTGTGGCTCGCTCCTGTTTGGTTTTCTGTACATCACTTCTCTCCTTTAGCTATAAACACAACACGCATGTGGAGCAGGTCAGGATATTCTGAACTATCTGTGGGCAGGACTGCTGCCCACTGCTAGAATCTCACAGGCAAATTTGGTCTGAGCAGCTAGTTGTAATTTGTCCTTTTGCTTGATGACTTGAAATACCTGGCTAGATGTTAATCCCATGGCTACCAGCCAAGAGGTGAGAACCCAGGAGAGTGTCTAGAGCAGCTCCTGACCTCTAAAAGCAACCATCATACTCAGTGAGAGGGGAATTCCAGGCTCTCGCTTAGGTTTGCCTTCTCTTCAGACTGCTTATGGTGGTTTGAAAGAAAATGGCCCCCAAAAGGAGCAGCACTATTAGGAGATGTGGCTTTGTTGGAGTAGGTGTGGTCTTGATGCAGGAAGTATGTCATTGTGGAGGTGGGCTTTAAGGTCTCATATGCTCAAGCCACACCCAGTGTCTCAGACCACTTCCTGTTGCCTTCAAGTCAAGATGTAAGAACTCTCAGCTCCCTCTCCAGCGCCAAGACTGCCTGAATGCTGCCTTGCTTCCCACCATGATGTTAATGGACTAAATCTCCAAATTGTAAGCCACCACAATTAAATGTTTTCCTTTATAAGAATTGCCATGGTCATGGGTGTCTCTTCACAGTGACCCAAACCCTCACTAAGACATGGCCTATATAAGCTTCCTCTATGAGAGTTTATTAGGCAGCCAATCTCTGGCTACTTAGAAAAGCACCTGCTATTTCAGTGAGTGATCTTCAGTTCTGTGGATGCAGCAGCCAGGAGACTGCTGGCCTCGAGTAACCATGATTGGTTCCTCTGAGAAAACTCCTCATCAATAAAGAGGTCTGTCTTTTTCAGTGCTGCGTGTACAACAGGGCAGGTTTGTAAGTGGTCACCTAGGGCTACAGCTTGACAGAAAGAGAGAAAAGGCATCAAGGCAGTAGTGAGAGAAAGACACAATGTGGACAGTGCCCTAACAGGACCTGGAAAGTCTCCACAGACAGGGTGCTTAGCTTGCCTCGGTGGCCTCGCCAACAAGAAGGAAATGGACTCTTGGAGCTTTTACTGTGATATCCATCTGGCCCTTACCAAGCTTGTTCTCTCAGAATGTCCACAGTTAAGACAACTCTGTCACTGCTGCTCTACACTTTCCAAAGACAAATGACACATTAGCCATGGATGGGTGGAATCACCTTCCCTCCACCCCTTACCCCTCAGGAGACTCTACTGTTAAAGGCTGGAAATCCCAAAGAGTTGGGCCGGGACACATTCGGCAGGCCTTCCAGCAGGGCCTCCATTCGATTCTGTGTCTGTCTCTCGGGGTGGCCACAGTGTGCAACAGTGATGCAATTTAACAAAAAGAAAACCATCGGTTTACTAGAAGAACCTACTAAAAGGGCCCTTAAAGGGCCTTCTTTGGTTGGGGAAGATTGGTTTCTCAGAGCTGTTAATTTTCCACTAATGGGTAAACTAGTCCATCACCACCTGCCAGGAGCCTAATCAATCGCCCAGGGAAGAGGGCTGGAGTCCCTCCACCCGGGAGTGGAGCGTGGTCCTCACTGGGAACTGAGTGGGATCCGAGATGTCTTTTCAAGCCATCTAGGCAGAAGAAATCACTCGCATGTGAAGTAGGAAAAGAAAGAAAAGTGAAAAATGGAAGACGGTGCTGGCTGCCTCACAGCTGGGTGTGAACTTGACAGCCAAGAGCAGCCTCACAGGCCAGTCACGGGACTTCACTTAGGATCCTGAATTATGAACCAGTCACAACCTCTAATACCCAGCAGCTTCAGTGAACCCAGGTGCTCGCCATCCCTCTGCAGGCCCCTCTCTTCACAGCACCCCGTCGATCGGACCAGTTGGCTGCAGTGTGTGTGAGATTGATTATACTGAAAGGGGAAAGGCGGCGTCACTCTCCCTTGTCTGGGGCACCCTCAGACACATGGCGAAGCAGAATACGATGTGAAAAAGCTGAGGGCAATGTTGCTGAGCCAAACTGTTTTCTCCTCCTAACTACACATTTCCTTGCTAGTTCACACTTAAAAAAAAAAAATGCTTTAAAGGTTGAGGATCATCTGAATTTAAGACACTGAAGATGGCTCAGTGGTTAAGAGTGACAGCTGCTCTTGCGAAGGACTCGGGTTCAGTTCCCAGCACCACATGGAAACTCACAATCATCCCTAACTCCAAGGGATTCAGTGCCCTCTTGTGGCCTCCATAGACGCCAGGCACAAATGAATAGCTCAGATATATACTTAGGGGGGAGGGAGGGAGGGAGGAGCTAGAAGGATGACTCAGTTATTAAGTGTTTGTCTAGAGAAGAAAGGGACCTGAGTTTGCATTCCCAGTGCCCCAGGGAAAAGCTGATCACCCACACGTCTGCAGCCCCACTGCTCAGGAGGCAGAGACAGGGAAGTCCCCGGCCTCACAGCCTATCCAGATGGGTGAGGTCTGAGTTCAGTGAGACCCTGTCTCAAAACACAAGGTAAAAAGAGACTGAAAAGGACACCTGACCTCTGCCCGCAACACCCGTGTACACATGTACACTCGAGCACATGCACACACATATCAAACATGTACCACAGGCACATACAAGAAGCTTACAAAGTCCAAAGAAATATGTGACCAGCAAATATTTACATGGAACTATAAAATTCATTTCACAATCAAATGACACTATTGGTAATCTTCCTAATATTTTTAATTTATTATTTAAATAAACTATTAAGTTCATTTTCATCATCAAAACTATTATTAAACATTAGTCGTACAAGGGGTGAAATAGAAATCTTGTCTGTGGGTTAGATATAGATCATGGACAACTTAAGATGTAAGCATGCTTTAAAAAAAGGGGGACGGTCATACCAATCAGCTTGATGTTATTGTCTTCATCCAGTAGCAAATTTTCTATCTTCAAGTCTCTAAAATAAACAAAACCATATATTTCAGGTTAACATTTGGAAGGGCAGAATGGCATTTCGCTCCTGAAAGGAAGTGAACGCTTTTAGAGTCACTTTGAACCCGCCTTCACCGTTTCCACTGAGAGCTGGTCATTAAGTAAATATTTGTGTGATGGGACATAATTAATAGCCATCCACTATAAAAAGCTAAAGGATTTCAGGGGCTGCGGAGTGAGATGAGGGCAGAGGAGACGATGATGGCCCTGAAATCTGAAAATCAAACATGACCAAGGCAAAAATATATAAATAAACAAACAAATAAATAAATAAATAAAACCAGGGACACAACATTCCACACAGAATATGAATTAGGGGGCAGGGGAAGAGGGAACCTGTGACACTGTGAGCAGCACCAATCAAAGTCACCAGTGGGTTTCGGGAAGCACTTAAACCAAATACGGCCAAGAGGGCGAAGGAGGTAAAGGCGTTTGCTGCCAAGCCTGACCACCCGAGTTCAATCCCCAGAACACACGTGATAGAAGAAACTCCTGCCAAGTTCTCCTCTCATCGCCACACACACTATGGTCCGCCCTCCCCTGCCTCACATCAATAAAGTATAAATAAAACAAATAAAAATTGAAAGCTGATTTAATTAATTTGTTCCACAGCCTCCATGGGCCTCCACACTTAGCTCGTGTCACAGCACGTTGGCAGATGATAATATTTTAATCTATTTTGCAAACAGATGTTGTCACAGGTGGGGTAATGGGCTCCACAGATGTCAGCATCCAAATCCCTGGTTTATGCCTGAGTGGGTGTTAACCTGACACGGGGAAAGGGGATTGAGTGCACAGATGGAAGGAAGAGTGGTCCTGAAGAGTGGGTGATGTCACTCATTGACAAGGAGGTGACAGGCAGGAGACAAAAAGCAAGTAGACCCTGTGAGTGGGAGACTTCAGCTGTGCTAGCTGACTGTAAGCTCCTACTGGGAAGGAAACAGGCCTGCCTTTCTCTCCACTGTACCAGGGAACCCCTGTACATTGCAGGTAGTCAGTAAGTAACATAGAGTAAAGCTAGATTACCAAAAAGATCAATGGGGGTCTGCAGCTGTGGCTACACACACACCATCTCAGAAACATCTAAGTCAACACACAAATTCTGGAATCTTACATTGCACCTATCGGCTCAGACATACACTGGATATTAATTAAGAATACTTTTCTAGGGGCTGGAGAGATGGCCTAACAGGTCACAGCATTTGCTGCTCTTGTAAGGGACCCAGGTTCAGTTCCCAGCACCCACATGATGGCTCACAACTGTCCGTGAAAGGTTCAGGCATTATGCTGGCCTACCCGTTACCTGGCAGAATCTACTCCGGCAGTACCCTGGTCAGCCCAGGGTTCCATGGGAACTAAGTCTGCATGCAGGTGTAGAGGACCCTGTAAAAGACAGACCCTGCCCACCTATGCTCTCTTCTCTTTTCCTCCCTTCACTTCACTTCCTCTCTCTCTCTCTCTCTCTCTCTCTCTCTCTCTCTGTCTCTCTTCTCTTTTACTCTCTCTGCTCTGCCGGCCTATAATAAACTATGGTTAATGTATCTCTTGTTCTCATGTATCATCTTGTGCCTTTTTCTAATTCAAGAAAAGAACAAGAGTCTGTAACTCCAGTTCCAAGAGATCCGATACCTTCTGGCTTCCTCAGGCTCTGTGAGTGCACACACATAGAGCACATCCATACATACAGGCAAAATACTCAAACACATAAATTTTTTTTAAATCCTATTTTTAAACAAAACGTTTCCATAAATGCACATATACACACATTTCTATACATCTGCTCTAGTTGGCCCCTGATTCAATTTCCCTACACTGGAATAGAGAAATCAGAAAATAAGTACTCTTTTTCTTGTGCCTATTATGGGGAACGTAACAATCTAATCATGACGAGACAAAACTGGTGGCTGGCACGTTACACCAATGTCTGTAAACAGATGGGCACCATCAAACAGAAGAGTGATGCTCTACGTCATAGGGGCAGTTGCTATAGCCCAGTCACCATGCCCCTAGCCCGTCCATTTTGCAAAAGTCCTGAACTCTTGATTTGGTCTCAGTTTTTAAACACTGGCAACAGACCTGCGTGTTGGCAATAACAGCACTGTGCGGGCCAAGCTGGAGGCAGGATCTGGCCTGCCAGTGACCAATTCTCAACTCGGTATGAGTAAGGGCTGAAGCTCGGGGAAGATGTGGGAATGCCCAGGGACAGGCTAGGACCCCCGAGGGGTACAGCCATTTGCAACACGGCTGGGCAGGAAGATGGCTTCCTTGGCACAACCAAGGGTGGATTTCAGAATGGGAAGAATCAAGAAGCCAAACGTGGGGTGGGGGTATCCAGTGGTTTCCAAACCAGAAGGCTGCTGGGAGCCTTAGGGTCTGGCACGTGGCTGAGGGGTGTGCACCCAGTCCGAGAATATAAAGACATACTGTCTGCTGAAAGTGCACAGAGCTGGGGAAGAAGTCAGGGTATCTTCAGCTCAAACGGAATGGTCCACTTGGAAACTGCTTTTAAGGTTGTCCTAAATATAAGGCAGCCTGCCTGCTTTCCCAATGGGCAAACTTGCCCCTTTGAATCGGGGTTTTAGAAAATATACAATATGACTGTTCAGGAGTGTGCTGGCACTACAGAGTCACTCTGGCCAGTATTCAGCTTGGAAGTTGCAATATTACATCAGACTATAAAATTACTTGGATTCATGCCCCAACACCACGTAAACAATAGATGATATACTTAAATGTTCACACAATTCACTGTGTAGCTCTATCTGGCCTAGAACTCCCTCTGTAGACCATTCTGGCCTGGAACTCACAGAAATATGTCTGTCTCTGCTTCCCAAGTCTTTGAAGTAAAGGTATGTACCACCACCCAGCCCTAACTTGAGAATTATGTGCACACACCCCTCCTCACAGCTCATGAAACAGTGTCACTACCGTTTGTCAAGTCAGAACCAAAGGTTCTTTGGGTTCCCCACTGTGGCAGCTAATCCTTCCTGAAGTAGACATTTACAAGGGAACAACTTGTTTTCCACCATTGCTGGGGTCTCTTCCTGGGTCCCTGCACACTCTCTAGCAAATGCTCTCCCACCGAGCTGTAACACTAGCTAACCCATAAATTCATATCTATGTCTGTCAATACTTTGCTTGGAACCCTAAACCATAAGCACCCATAAATTAACCACTCAATGGGTTGTTTTCAGTCTAGCCTCTCAAGCATCACAACTGGGAGCCATTCTTTCAGAAGTTGGGATGTGTCATGTCCACTGTCTTCATTGCCCTTCTGCCAGATTCCTAGGATGATGGCTAGAGCCCTGGTGTCATCGGTGACTCAAAGCAAGCAGAATAGGTTTCTCTAACTGCAGCTTGGTGGGTGAAAGCACAGCAGCTTCCGCTGTGCCACTGTGATGAGAGATTTCCAGAGAGACACTGTAAGGAATGGTTTCTTTCCCAGGGAAAATTAAGACTTTACATGAGTCGGACTTTTACTCAAGCATTTACGGTAATTCCAGCGTGCAGACAAACATACAACAGTGTGCCAGGAACAGCCCAAAGTGTGATTCAGTGAAAACTGATAACACAGCAGTGGCACTATTTCAGTCTAAGGCAAAGTGAAATTAAGCCTCCTGCCTAAAGGAAGTCAAAGTCAGGCTTTAAAGGGAAAGAAAAAAATGTTCAGAACAAATATTGTACAAAAAACAGTTTAAAAAGTCAAGGAAAAAAGAAAGCAATTGATAAGAATAATGAATCGGAGTTGAGTAATTTGGTGCCATAAATGCCTAGAGAAAAACAGCAATGATTAGAGCAAGCACAGAAAAGAAACACTATAAAGGAAAAAAACAATAACTATAAAAACCAGGGAAAGTTTATAAAAAACCAAAAGGAAGTATAAAATATAATTATTTGGTAAAAGGGGAATAAAGCCAGCTCAAAGCCACTAACTTCCCACATACCACTCTCCTGAAGTGATCAACTCCAGTCACCAGGAGAAACGTCCAGAAGAAACCTCGCTAGTAAAGTGTCCACCCCGTTACACCTTTGTCCAGCTTCCTAGACGATTCCAGCTGGAACCAGTTGCACTACCAGGATGGGCCCAGGCTAGCAGTGGAGACAGGAAGTCCCTGGGTGCTAAATGGCCTTGATGCTGAGATGGCAGAAGCTTTAACCCTGGGACATCATTCCCACCTCCTGCTTTGAAAAGAGAATGCTTCCCAATGGTCTCCCATGTCTAAATTTGGGGAAGGCATTTTTTTGTTGTTGTTGTGGTTGCTTGAAGATGAGGTGGAGTGAGGGCTAAGGAATGGGAAGATGCCGTGTTGTGTAGCTCAGTCTGACCTTGAACTTGTGGCAATGCTCCTGCCTCAGCTGCCCAAGTGTGGGATAAGCATGCATCATCACCCCCGCCTTAATGTCTGGTTTTCTAATGTTGCTTTTCCCCTGGTCACATAAGTCCTCTGGATTCATTAGTTCTCCAGGCTTAGACTGAAAATATATGGGAAGAGAAAGACTTCCTGTGTGGAGAGTACACAGACACTTTCCTTGTTATTGAACGGCAGTGTAACTTAGGTTACACTGATGTTTGTTTGACTTATTACAAGTAACCCAGAGAGGTCCAAGGATTATATGCAAACACGAGTCAGGTCATTTCATAGCAGAGACTGGAGTATGGGGCGTGAGGGGTTGGGGTGGTGGTGAAATGCTCTTTGTGGATCTGTGTCTTGTGGGTATCCAGGTCATCATAGCTCTGTCAGGACCCACAGAAATGTACAATGCAGTGAACTTTAATGTCAGCTACAGGCCTTGGTTAATGTCATTGTCTGTGCTCCAGTTAACCAGCTAAAACAAAGATGCTATGGCTACCCAAGATATGGAAGTCGACAAAACATGCCGAGGAAGAGAAGGCGAATAGAGACCCTGGAGTTGCTGTGCAATTTCTCTACAAACTGTGTCTATAATCTTTTCAGAGTAGCCTTG